ACGAAGAGAGTCTGGGGGGGGTGGGGGCGGCACGGGAAAGGCAAGGGAACTGTGCAGTACCTGCTTGTCTTAGCTCATAGGGGCTAAATTCAGGAATTCACCACCTATTAACATTAAAGGCTATCCTGTTCCTCAGGAGCCTCTGGAAGTCATCTGGTCCAACCACCCTGCTCAACCAGGGCCACCTAGAGCAGCTTGCCCAGGACCACATCTAGACAGCTTCTGAGTATCTCCAAAGATGGAGAGTCCACAACCTCTCTGGATAACCTATGTCAGTGCTCAGTCACTCTCACAGTAAAAAAGTAGTTTTCCTCTACATCACTGATATTGAATGGGTTCTCCCTTAGGCCAGAAAGTGAAAGGGTATAAGAAATTCTCTGCTTTGCCCTGCTTTTTGACCACACACAACATACAACCCAAAGTGTGATACTTATCAAGAGCAACATTTGAACTTTTAAGTGAAAAACACAACAAAAAAATCCCAAACACACTTAGCCATCTTTCTTGGTTTACAGTAGAGCCTATACAACTTGGCACCAGAGACTTTGAGTAACAAAGGTTATAAAAAGCAGACCAAAATATAATATTTAATTGAAGATTTTAATATTTTCCTTCCCAATGAGAAATTTGTCTCTTTTGGAATTTAGAACCTGTTTGACACACAGCCCCCCCCCCCCGCCAAAAAAAAAAAAGAAAAAAGAGACTTTCCCAAAATAGTTCTATAGCTTAACATTGCCATAATAATTTTAAGCTAAGAATTTTTGTCATTTGCAGTTAATTAGTTAGAACTCTATTGCTTTACTATTTCATTTACTACTGAAAAACTAAGAAAAAAGTACCTAAATTACCGCATTGTAGAAATAACTAGGAAAACCAATGTTCATGGAACAGAAATACAACACAAATAAAAGAACACTTATTTCAGACAAATACTTATTGTGATTTCTCCCCCTTCCCCCCTGTAACTCAGCTGGCTTTATCAGTTGGGCTTGCTTGAAGGACAAAGTAACATTCTTTTCCCCTAACTAGGTTAGAGGACCTGAATCAACACATGGGATGAGTTCTTCACTCAGTCTTCTCCCTGATGCTTTCTGGACATCCTACATATGGCTCACTTCTAACACCTATTTCTACTACTCATTTGTAGTAAATGATCCACTTCTGGAGAGTTCAATTAATGTACAAAAGAGTTCACACCAACAAGCCTAGGTACTGCAGAAAAGGAATGGAAAAAGTCTGCAGATATTGAGGTAACTGAGCGGTTTATTTATTTATTTTTTAAAGGTTTCCTGTAACAATAATAGCAAACAACATGTCAAATAAAAACCAGCAAATCTGAGGAAGTTAGTAACCCTGATCAAGACACCTTATTCCTTATAAGTGTTAAGCAAAGTTTAGATTTCACCATGTTTGTAATTTTCCATTTCATAACCATTCTCTCCTTGAATACTTAATATGGCATTAAGGACTGCACATTATGCTCTTCACTCTCCTTTCCAGGCTACATCTCCCATTCCCAAAGTGTAGCATCAGGAAGTTTCACAGGAGAGAAGCAGAGATAAATAAAAGAAAGAAATTATAACTGATCTCTCACATTCTCCAAGTTTGTTCTTTCTCCATAACCTCAATACTTGGGATATACAAAGGAATGGAAAAAAGGTCAGAGGATTCACTGCTGTTAGCATAAAATGGTAAGTGCTACAGAAACAGCCATAAGGCCTACCTGGATTTTTTTTAAGAAAAAAAAAAAAGCAGCAGAGGGGAACTCAATGGTCACAAACCTTAAGTTTAGTTAACATATGAACCCTGTATGGCTAAGGCTTACCTTCTCCAGGACCATACTTGTGATTCATTCCCCTTCTTTCATGCTCAGTTACAAATCTCAATTGCTTTATTTTCCAAAAGACATCACATGCAGAGGTGCAGTCAAGGTAACTGAGCAAGATGATATTCAGAATCTCTTGTTCTAATATCTATTAGTGTGTACTAAACAGTTGTACACCATTAGTAAGCAGGAAAAAAAAAATGCATGCAGGAAGGTTCTCTCTGCACCCTCAAATCTAGGCTGTTCCCAAAGCAGGCTTCCTATGAAGAGTCCCCTACCAAAGCAGGAACTTCTGTCTAACAACAGTAGTCAACCAGCACCTTCCCACCAAGAAAAAACTTTTCCAAGGCAAACTGGACTGCAAGATACTGTAGCAGCTGGTCAGCTCCAGCTAATTGAACCTTCTTTTTGAACCATTACAGCTAAACACAAGGTCGAGATTTTAATTCTTATTACCCAGACTAACATTTCTGTAACTCTCCTTAAGTAAGCCAGGTTTAGCGTATCCGACCCAGCTCTTAGTATTTCAACATGCCATCAAGCACCAAAGATTACCACAGCAGATGAAATTAGCCCAATGGCAAATTTGTTATCAAACTATGTTTAGTCTCCCCAAAAATGTTTCAACTAAAGGGAACAATCCTTTGCCCAGTTAAACATCTCTCATCTTAGCATATGATTATTACAAAAAACAGATAAAGAGTCAGTATGATACTAACATTTGTTTATGCTGAACAGTAGTTAAAACTGTAAGAAAAAAACTCATGTTTATACCAAAAAATTGTCTATAGTCTGGTTGCTGTTAAGACAAGAGTTTATTGTAACTACTACAATAGAATACTTGTATGAAATAAAACCAAACTCATGTAAGCAGTTATCAAATTCGCAGAGAGAACCTCTAAATCAAGTTTTACCTGAAATGTTAAAAGTTTAAGTTTTACGTATAGAGTTATCCTTCTAGGACACTGCAGAGACCTTGCAGAGAATTTAATTTAGAACTTAAGCTCTGTTATCCAGCCTAGAGCCTTCTAATAGCTCCCTTCCCAACTATTAGACCAGCATAACCAAACAGGCATTTCATAATACATATCAAAAGTTCATCAAGTACTGAGGTACAGTTATCAGTTGGTTTTATTTTTTTTTTTTTTTTAAAAAAAGACAGGTCACAGGAACTATGCTGTGCACAAGCATACCTTATTCCACTCAACCTCTTTTCAGAACTCAAACTTTTAAGGGAACAACTTTAGGAGCTAGTGCAGAATACAACAAATAGTTCCATACAAATGCATGCCATGACACATGATATCCCAGTTCACATACTGTCACTTTTCTCATCCTACATCCCCCATGCAGAGATTAGGAATACTGCCTCGTTGGAAAAAGCTTTTTGTTGTTGTTTTGTAAACATATCAAAGCTCTAACAGTGAAGTGTCGCATTCACTCCTAGAGCCTACAAGTCTCTAATAAGACAGAGAACAGGGTCATTCAAGGATAGTTTATCAAATACAAACAGTTCCATTTGAATTGACACAACTGGTAATATTAGCTCAATGTTTAGGAGAAGCATCAGCTATTTTAAAATCTGAATTTTAGTGATAAGGTATTTCCTTAGAGTTAAGGGTTTAACTTTTATTACAGAAAATCCTGAAAAAAGTATTAATTTAAAACTGTCTGGTATTCTTCTAGTAGTGAAAAAAAAAAAAAACCAAACCCAAACCAAACCCAAAACTTTGTCAGACCACTCACCCGCAACACTGGTAATGGTAACGGGAACTCCTTGAACTTGAACACCTGCAGCACCCAGGTTGGCAACACTTACTGTTTGAAGATTAGGTACTGAAGCAAGCTGGGCAGCATTCAGAGTGATGGGGGTACCAGCAACAGCCACTGGTGCAATCTGGGCAATGGTTGTGCCACCACTTGAAGACACAGGGGTAATGGTTAGTTGTTGGGGTAACCCAGCATTTTGAACTTGAAGATTTGAAAGGCTTTGCAGATTCTGAACCTGTACAGTTTGCCAGCTGATCTGCCCTGATGGTGTTAAAGTTGGAGCCCTGATGAGCACCTGAGTTGGACTCACTGCCTGCAGCTGAACGTTCTGCAAAGGCTGCTGCTGGATGGTCTGTATAGTCTGCCCTGACTGGAGCTGAAACGACTGTGGAGGAATAGCCTGAATAATCTGCTGTTGAGGCTGCTGGATCTGTATCTGCTGCAGAATAGGCTGACCTACAATTTGGACCTGCTGAAGGGAACCCGACTGATCCTGGACATTCTGTAGTCCATTGGACTGAAGCTGACTGGAGCTCTGGGCTTCCGAGTCTGCAGCGGTTGTTTGAGGTTCTTCAGTCGTCTGCTCTGAACTGCTGCCTGCTGTGCTTGCGTACTGGCCTGTTTCTGCAGAGCTTACTAGCGTGTCACTGCTAGTTAGAGATGTTGAGGCAGTGGTCGTAGAGGTGGAAGATGAGGAAGGAGACTCTGGCATTGTACTAACAGAGGCAGAAGTGACTGGCGTAGATGCTAGCTGATTTCCGTTGGAAACTCCACTCTCAGTAGACTGGCCAACTTGACCCGAACCTCCTCCAGCTGCCACGTTATTTATCACAGGCAATGCTAGGGTTACCCCACCAATGTTTATAGGTAACGTTGTTACAACTTGCGCCTGAGTACCAGGAATAGTTTGCAGTTGCAGTGGTATGGAAACACCAGGCCTAATTTGGACTGGAACTGTCTGATTTGCTAGGTTTTGAGCAATAACATTCCCCGAAGCTGTCCTATTTGCAGTTGTGAGGATAGCTTGATTATTCCCTGCAGGAATAAGCTGAATTTGACCCTGTATGTCTTGTAGACCAGTAGTATTAGATGGATTGATCTGAAGTTGTTGACCTTCTGTTGTCTGAATCTGTGGGATCACTTGGTATTGGACACTACCACTTGGATTTTGTACTTGAATGACTTGGAATTGTCCAGGGGTTGTTGCAGAAGAATTGCCCGGTTTGGTTTTTGAAGGAGATGTACTTCCATTGTTACTGCTGGAGGGACTTGCCGCACTCGAGGCAACAGAAGATCCTTGCTGAGCAACATTATTTTCCTTTGAAGCAGAAGGAGCGGCAGCAACAAGCTGCCAAGCGTTTCCAGCAAGCTGAGTTGTTACCAATTCTAACTGCTGTGGCTGATTCTGAAGCTGCACCAAACCTTGATTTGGATCTATAATAATCTGCTGCTGTCCAGTTCCTTGATTCTCACCAGGAGTTCCTATTTTGCTGCAAGTGGCTGCTAGCAAAGCAAGAGGTGAAGGCTGAGAATCCTATCCGTAAAGACAGAAAACAGAACAGATTCAGGAGAACGGCATGAGTATGAACCATCAGAAGTAAGCATTAAGGTTTACACAGGAAGCAGAAAAAAAAAAAGTGCTTCTGCATAGAGACCAATGATACAGCTCTGAATAAGGAAGTATGTATTTCTGTAAACAATCTTTAAACATAAAGCCCCCAATTATCAATGCATGTGTGACAGCCAGGGCCTCAACTGCATCCTCAATCCAGTCTTTTTTTCCCCCAAAAAAAGAAAGAAAAATTTAAAAAATGCTTCTATTACATGGAAAGCAGCTGATCACTGCAAAATGCAATCAAAAAAACATGTCCAGGCAGAAAAAATACTGCACCCAACCAACTATGTTTCATTCAACCCAAAGAAAGATGCCCTGAGCAGGAAACGCTGTTAGCTGAACATTTCATTTTCCATGCTAATAGTTTGGGCACTACCCTATTCGGGTGTGTGTGCTTTACCTGTGAGCCTCCAGTTTTCCCTTTTTTATTATTATTGTTGTTATTCTCTGCCTCGGGAGATTTCTCTCCCTCTGTGGGCATAGTTTCCTCCTTCTTTTGATCTGCAAAAATATCAAGTGTAACAGGTTAATTATTCACCTTCATTTATACAATAACAAAACCTACGAGCATATCCTTTTTGGTTCCCAGCTTGTCGCCTTTACCTCTCGATAAAAACAACAGCGCAAATCATTATTACAAAAGAACGAGTCCTAAGAAACGTGGTTTGAAACCCAACCCATGGGGGCTGGAGAGTTAACACCCAGAAAGGGGAGGTTTGGTTTCCTCTCCCAGAGACAGCAGGAAAAAACCACCCACAACCCTCCTCCTCCTCCTGCCCCCTAAAGCATCGACGGCCACTGAGT